TGGTCATTCTCTGCCTCGGTTTCTTCCTCTGCAAAATGCCAGCACTAGTAACCTGCCTTGTGGGGCTGTCGCGGGGACTGAAGGAGTGAACATCTGCAGAGGGCTGAGAAGAACACCTGGTCCACAGTCAGGTCTCAATACTTTCGTTTTATTCCCTCAGCCCCGTGCTTATGCATACTGAGTGCTCGATCGATGTTTTTTGGTGGGATTAAAGAATTAAAAAGGATGAGTAGTTACACATTAGAATTACGTTCTCCCTAAAAACCAGGCGGCCCCGCTGCCATAAACCCGCACTCAGAAGGCCGCCGAAAGACCTGGAAAGAAGGGACATGCTGTGTACATGGAGTCACCTGGTCTGGACACCAGCAGCCAGCTGCGCACCCTCGGACCTGAGCCCCTTGCAGAGGGAGGGCCTGACAGCTCAGCCAGTCACCCTTTAGGTGTGAAGGCAAAGGAAAGGCGGTGACAGTGGTCAGGGTTCCATCTGTGTTTGCTGGGACCCTTGAGCTCTGGTCCCAGGCAGAGGTGGGGGGTGCCCTCAGGGGCTAACACCATCCAGACCGGGACTGTGTGACCTTGACCAAGGTGCCTGCCTCCCCAGGCCTGTGTCCCACCTGCACCAAATGGACAAAATCAGACTAAAGAATATTCAGGGCCTTTCTGACCTCTGAGATTCTAGAACTTTCTGCGTGACAATCTTAAATTACAAACCACACCGAGGAGAAAGCAGGGGCCATGACTCATGAATGAAAGAACAAGTGTGGCCAATTTCCTGGGAGCTCAGGTGTCTAAAAGAATGAAAGGAAAAAAATAAAAGTAGGAAGGAAGAAAAGCCATTTCAGGACAGCTGAACTTGTGAGGAGTTGCACTTCGCATTTGCAAATGACACGTTTCAGTAGATTTCAAATGTTCGTCTCTGACTCAATCATTCCTTCCAGAGGATTCACGGGACAGAAGCAATCACAGAGGACTGCCCCTGGTTTGCTCACAAAGATATTGATCTCAGTGTATTTATAATAAAACAAGGAAAGTAGCTTCAATTTCTAATCGTCAAGGAATGGTTAGATAATTCACAGTATGTCTCTTTGATATGTTACCTTTTCTTTTGCAAGAAAATAACACAGAGGAAATGTGTACAATGTAAGGTCAAGTGGGGAGAAAAATCACCATCCTGCAATGGCTTTGCTGCATGGTCTGTTTTAGGAAAAAAAAAAAAAGTTTGCAGATAAAAGACCAGATGAAAATGTGCCTCTGGTTAGTGGGATTCGGGTGACTTTTTTCCTGCTTCTTTGCACTTCCAAATGTTCGGCATCGAGGACTTTGAAACCCTCCCTTAAAAGCAGTACAAAAATGGAATTTGAGAAAGTAACACTTTGCCAAAAGTACAGTCAGCTTTCTCACCTCTTTGAACGGTGTGATGAAAGTCTCCCATTTAAATACTGGATTCCTTCCTTCCTTCCTCCTTCACGTGGTGGGGATGGGGGGTGTCTGAGATCTCACGATGCTGAACGGGGCCTCTGAGCACAAGCTCTCTGCTGCTCCTGGCTGTGCCTGAACCACAGCCCCCTTAGATGTGCTGGGCTGGCGAGTCCTCAGACCAGGGCTGACGTGGGAGCTGCCATGTCCCCGCCCACTCTGGCGAGGCCGGGAAGGCATGCCAGGGAAGGAAGGTGGCCCCGTGCCCAGGGACTGAGGGCACAGGCTCCGTCTGAGACAGAACTCCGCATCTCAGAACCTGGACGCGTGAACCCCTCTGCCCTTCCCGGATGTTCAGACACAGACAAGGGAGACAACTCGGAACAGAGGCGGGAACACTGGTCTTGGCTCAGAAAGCCCGGCTGTTCCCCTGGCCCTGCTTCCTCCGGGCTATGTGGTCTTGAGGAAGTCACCAAACTGCAGGGGGCCCGTTTTAGTCCCCTGCATACAATGAGGCCACTCCTGCCTCTTGTGTCTTGCTCTGTGTGTGGCTTTACCTTTAAGAAGGGCAAGTTGCAGCTAGTCTTTGTGGCCACGTGTTGTCTCCAGTTAATCTCCGCTGTGCAGAGAGAGGGTCTCTCCTGAGAGAGACAGATCCTCTCTATTGGCACCACTGGGTTCGGCAGCACCCCCCACCCCAGCCTCTCTGCAGGGCCAGGCTCCGGGCCCTCCTTCCAAGGCACCACTCTGGGCGTGGCCCAAGCCCACTCTCCTCTCCTAGGCCTTCTGGACCTCTGCCATCGCCGCACCTCATCGCCCAACTCAGAATGGTCTCCCCCAGGAGGAACAGGGGGTCCTCGAGATTCAGCTGGGGGTCTGTTCAGGGGGATTGGTCTTCCGTGGCATAAATCATCATGACATGCCGGTCCCTGGGGGAGGAAAGGGGAGGAGCAGAAACACGGCATGAGCACCGGCACAGGTGTGCGTGTGTGTGCACACGTGTGTGGCTTTGGCGTGACTCCAGTTCTCCGGGGAGGAGGCAGAGTCGGCATGGCTGCGGTGCACCTGGTCTGAAGACGACTCTTGGAGCTTTTTCATTTTCTTTCTATCCTTGTTTAAAAAAAGACTTTACTTATTTATTTTTAGAGAGAGGCGAAAAAAGGGAGAAAGAGGGAGGGAGAAACATCAATGTGTGGTTGCCTCTTGCACGCCCCCTACCGGGGACCTGGCCCACAACCCAGGCATGTGCCCTGACTGGGAATTGAACCAGTGACTCTTTAGTTCATAGGTCAGTGCTCAATCCACTGAGCCACACCAGCCAGGGCTGCTTTTTCAATTTCGATCGACAAATTTCAGACGGTTTCCGCCATCATGGGGCAGTGTGTCCAGTGCTGACTCCGTGCGAGCATGTGTCCCACGGTCATTTCTCAACAGAACGAAGGCAGGCAGTGGGACCCAGATGGAGGGCCCCCCCCACACACAAAGGCTGCAGCCGTCCTCCGAGTAGCTCCATGACTTTAGAATCATGGAAAAAGTCGTCACCAGCCTTTCTCCTGGGCTGTGCCAATTAGAAACTATATTTAAGTTACAAAATGGCCACGAAGGGACCAGGCTTACTTTCCAAGGGCCCCCTGAGGTCGTGGTTCACTGCATGGGGCGACAGAGAAAGGGCCCGGGTCAGGGGTGGACCTCAGCTGGCGGGCAAGGCAGTAAGACACCAGCGGAAACAAGAGGGCCACAAGCACAAGGCAAGTGTCCCCAGGCCTGTACTCCAGTTCTGGCACACACAGAACTTTGTCTGCCTCTCATTCCCACCCAGACCACACCCCCCCAGGGTTTCCAGGCCTTGAGTCCCGCAGGGCAGGCAGCCATTGTACCGATGAGACCACCAGCGTGGTCTTGCAGAACTGGGGGGAGCTTCCTGCATCTCAAACAAAGCCCTGGCCAGATCAGGGTCCACATCAGGGTTTCTCCAAGTTCTGAAACTTCTGCACACACCAGATCATCTGGCGGGCTTGTTACAACAGATTCTGGGGCTTCCGATGCACAAGGGCTGTAGGGTTTGGGAGGCCCGAGGATCTGTGTTCCCCACAACTTCCCAGGGCTGCACCGGGAACGCGGCTCCACAGGCAGGCAGGCAGCCGGGGCCGGGCTCCGAGCGCAGCTCTAGGGAAAGAGGGAGACGAAGGTCCCTGGGCCCGACAGGCAGCTGGACGCTGGTCAGGTCCTCGGTTGTGGCTGTGGTTTTGCAAGGAGGACCCCTGGGCCTCTGTGACGATGTCACCTCCTCAGAGATGCGGTCTCTGATGACCCGGGTGCAGCAGCCACCACTCTCCCTCAGCCGAGTCGCTCCCTTCTATGCTCTCGTTATCACACGCCGGCGGAGTTGTGGCTCCTACTTACTTTCTATGTGCTTCTCATCCACTTTATCCCACAGGATAAGGGTTTCTTGAGGACAGTGGCTCTGCCTTGTCACTGTTGAAGCCCCGTCGCCCAGAGCAACACATCCTCTCTTGCTGTTGTGTAACAGTGGCCACAGCCATCCCTGGGAAAGCAAACTGAACTCTGGGCGCCTGGAGTGAGTGGTGTGGGAAAGGTGGCCTTGGCCATGTCCCTGACCCTGATCTAGTCCCCTGATCCTGTATGGACCAGCTCAGCAAAGTCTTTGCGATGCGTAAGGCTGCAGCGAGACCACAGTTTGTGGCTCTCAATACCCCACTGTCATTGCGGGAGCCGTCAGATGCCTTGACTGAACAAAGCAGGGACGTGGATGGGGACGTGATGGCAATGCGGGGCCTCGTCCCAGGGTTCCCTAGTGGTGCCAAGGGCTCCGACGCCTCCGTGCCGATAACAGCCCTGAGTCAAACATCTGCACAGACCAGGACCAACAGGCCTCCCCGAACCCGGAGCTTCAGGCCTCCCAGGTCTGCCCCGAGTGGGGTGTGCTGTGAAGTCAGGCTCCCTGCATCCTGCTTCTCGGGGCACCAGGCGGAGTATCAAGTGGAGCTTCTCTACCAGACTCGGTCCAGCTCGGGGCTGGCAGTGCAGGAATAGCAACCATGTACCAGACACACTCACACACACACTCATACACACACACACACACACGCCACCAAGCCCACGGATGTCCCAGGCAGTGCCCCCCACCACAGGCAACAGCCTGGAGCTCTGGTGTAAGTGACTTTGGGGGCCACCTTCCCGAGCCTTCGGAGGCTGAACTACTTCCGACATTTTCGGTCCAGCAGTCCGGGCCCGAGTGTGTGTTCTTGGCATTTGCTTGTTCATTCATTTGTTTGACAAGTGATTTTTAGGGGAAGGTGGGGAGAGGGAAGGGGCCTGCTGGAGCTGCGGGCCTGTCTATGGACACAAGCTGTAGTAAAAGTTCAGCTTCAGCCCTGATTGATATGGCTCAGCGGATTGAGTGCAGGCCTGCCAACCGAAGGGTCACCAGTTTGATTCCCAGTCAGGGCACATGCCTGGGTTACAGGCCAGGTCCCCCCAGTGCAGGAGGGGATGCATGTGAGACAGCCACACCTCGATGCTTCTCCCCCTCTCTTCCTCCTTCCCTTCTCTCCTCTCTACAAATAAATAAAATCTTTTTAAAAATTCAGTTTCACAAAGTGCTCTGAGTACATCCCCAATGGTATCCTGGAACAGAAAAAGGACAGGAGTGGAAAACCGGGTGGAACCTGAAGGAAGTGCAGAGTTCGGTTAGTCGTAAGCCCCTGTGTTTGTCTCGTGGTGCTGACCACTGCACCGCGGTGGTGGGAGATGCTCGCACTGGGAGGAACGGGGTGAGGCGTTCGGGGACACTCCACACCATCTTCGTGACTTCTCTGTCAATCTAAAATGATTCCCCCCAAACAGTTTATCTAAAAAACTCAGTTCCAAAGTTTTACAGTCCAATATAACCTATTGACTTGGAGGTTTAACGAACAAACCTACTATGCTGTTCAACTTTTACATTTTGTTGAGATATAACCACACAGCAAGGGGCGCAAGTCTCATGTGAGCTGATCACTGCACACCCTCCTGACCAGCTCCAGGCCACACACAGGAAAGTTCCCAGCCCCCGGGAGCCATCCTCCAGCCCTTCCCACGAACAGTTCCCCTCCACCAGACCCAGCCACTCTCTGGACTTACATACCACAGGGTGGTTTCTCTGCTCTTGAACTTCCAATAAGGAGATCTTAAAGTATGCACTCTTTTGAATCTGCCTTCTTTCACTCGAGATACTGTCTAAAAACCAGCCATGTCATTGCACACAGCAGCAGTTCACTCTCCGATTACTGGGTAATATTCCATTGCATCAGGCTGCCCAGTGCAGTTACCATCGTGTTTCAGGGACGACTGGGCTGTTTCCAGGTTGGGACTCGCATGAATGAAGCTGCTGTAAATGTTTTCACTTGTGTGCTTAGGCCCTTTTCCTGGATGTGTGCTTCAGCGTGGCATTGCTCGGTCGTATGTAGTGCGCTTGTCTGTTCAGTTTTAGTAAAAACTACCGAGCCTCTCTCACACTAGTTACACTTCCTCCAGAAATGCAGCAGAGTTCTGGTTGCTTTGCATTCTTGCCACTGCTCGCTGCTGCCAGTGTTTCTAGTTCTAGTCATTCAAGTGTGTACATGTCTCAGGTTGTAACGTGCAGTTTCCTGACGACCGCGTGTGTGGCTGCCTTCAGGATATCCTCTTTTGTGAAGTGCCTGTTCAAGCCTTTTGCCCATTTTTATTTCAGTTTTTCTTTTTTTTATTGTAGTTGCTCTCTCTAGATTCTGGATACAAGTCCTTTGTCAGATGTACGTATAACAAATGCATTTTCCCATCTACAGCTTTTTGTTTCACCCCGAGTGGTATGTTTCTTTTTTCTTTTTTAATTTTTACTTATTTATCTTTTAGAGGGGAAGGGAAGGAGAGAGGGAGAGAAATATCAATGTATGGTTGCTTCTCTGCATCCCCTGCTGGGAACTGGCCTGCAACCCAGGCATGTGCCCTGACTGGGAATCGAACCACAATCTTTTTGTTTGAAGGCCCGCGCTCAATCCACTGAGCTACGCCAGCCAGGGCCCGAGTGGTATGTTTCAAAGAGTAGATCAGTTTAGCTTTAACCAAACCAACTCTAGCTTTTTAAAAATTCACATCAGAAGACTCTGGCGTTTGTATACGTTTGGAACTAGGAAAACTAGAGATCATCTGTGCCAATGGTTCTTAAGTCTTGTGGCCACTAGAATAACTTGAGGAGCTTTTGGAAAAAAATACTGATGCCTGGGTCCCCACACCAAGAGATTATGAATCAGTGGGTCAGGGCTGGAGTCCCAGAATCAGCCTGGTTTAAAAGCTCCCCAGGGAATTCAAACAAGCAGTTGGAATTGAGACGCACCAGCCTCTGTGATGGGTGGGGGTCTAACACAGGAATGTTCTGCTTGGCCAGATACCCTCTCCTAGTCTGCCTCACTCATGACCCTGGACAGGAAATAAACTCTTCCAGAGTGGTTAGAGGTGGCCAGTCCCCAGTAAGATCCTCAGTGGGTCTTTCTCTCTTAAACCTCTCTGCTTGCCTGGGACGAGCTTGGTTAATGCCCATTGTGTTGGTGTGATAATTAATAGCACTGCTCTCGCAGAAGTGACCTGATTTGGATAGTGCACAGTGGGACTGCTCACCCTTGAGGGTGTGTGGCCTCTCACCTGCACGCCCTTCACTCGCCTTCCTCACTCCGCCTCAGACCCCTCACTCCGCCCCCACCAGCTGCCCTGGCAGGTGTGCAGGATACCAGGTGGGCATCTCCGAAGCAGAGGGGCCTGTCCCAGCAACAGCCAGGCCCTAATTCCCCATCTTTCCAGCTGGATTTATTAAAACCCCACAAGGAGAAGCAGCCTCCAGGCAAGAGGCTAGTCCCGGGAGCCACACCCAGCACCAAAGCCACAGCTCCAGTTCCACTCACTGTGAAAATTCTACCTACCCACTGCCTGGCCACATGGGACACTGCTCAACTGCACCAACCACCGCCTTTGTGCCTTTGTCATTGACCCCTCTGTCACCAGATTGCCTGGCTGATTCAATAGGTAAGAGAGCCAACTCTTCCACAGGGACACGTGACCGAAGTCCCTGAAGACCCCGGAGCTCAGATAGGTGTCAGCGTCACCCTTTCTCCTCTGTCTCCACCTCCACCTGGTGACATAGCTGTCACCATGAAGACTGCGTGCCCCAGAGCAGCTCTGTGTCACAGACGTGCATTCAACAGCTCAATCCCTGCCGCCCCCTCCACACTTCGGAGTCATCTGATTGATCAGAATTTCATCTGTACCTTTAGCCTCGTCACCTGCACAAAAATAACTTCTTATAACTGCAGTGGACTGAACAGCGGCCCCCAAAGACACGCCCAGGTCCTAACTCTCAGAATCAGTGAGTGTGGCCTTATTTGGAAAAGAGTCTTTGCCGATGTAATTAAGTGAAGGCTTACCCTGGATTGTCCAGGTGCTCCCTACGTCCAATGACAGGTGTGCTGGCAAGGGACAGAAGAGGTGCCGTGGGAAGAGGAGAAAGGCATCAGAAGACAGAGGCATTAAAGTGACGGAGCCGTGAGCCGGGAAGGCCTGGGGCCACGGAAGCCAGAAGAGGCCCGGAAGGATCCTGCCCTAGAGACTTGGTGGGGGGGGAGGAAGTGTGGAGTACAGCCTTTCGGACACCCAGACTGTGGACATGCAGCCTCCAGACCTGTGAGAGAGCACATTTCTGTTGTTTTAGCCGGCAGCTTTGTGGTGACTTCGCGGCAGCCCTGGGAAACTGGTCCGATGGCTTCAGTGAGCTCAATTTCTCTAGACGCTGGCTTTCCTCCCTTTCAAGCTGTCCCCACCCGTCTGCCTGAGCAGACGCACACAGACACACTCCAGTACACCCACAGCCGCACGTCTCTGCTCACTGACGGCATTGTCTCGGCCTTTCCCCAGACACGTCTCTCCCCAAGAAGAAGTGGGATGCGCTGGATACTTTATTGAGATGTGCACAGGAGCCGGGGCTGAGAGCACACGGAGCTCTCTGCGCCTGCCCCAGCGAGATGCCCTGGGAAGCCAGGCTCCTTTGGTTTCTGGGTTGAAAACAGAATCTTCTGAGAAGGTGAAACAGCCAAGGAGGACGGGGCCAAAGACAGACCTCACACTTTCGACGATGGGAACCAAGAGCACCTGCGAGGTCAGAGGCAGACCCATCGGTCTCTCGGTCGGGGGGAACAAGAATTGGGGTGGGGGGGCAGCACCGGGCAGGCTCACTGAGGTGAAAATTCAGCTGGGAAGGCTTGTTTCAGGGTGAACAGGAGGAAGATGATCTCCTCATAGTTATCAGATTCGTACAGACACCCAAACTGGGGTGAGCCATCGGGGCCGACACCCAGGCTCTGCAGGTCTGAGTAGGCGCAGCTGCCGTGGGCCAGCAGCGCGGGCTGGGACCAGGCCTCGGGGGCCGGAGGCCGCGTGTTGAGGTAGGCGCCCAGGTCGGACCTCTGCTGGGGGTCGGTCGGGTGAGTGTATAGCAGCCACTTGTCCGAGGAGCCTGACCCTGCTCTGGGGCTGGGGAAGCTGACGATGCTGCCGTGGCAGCCGTGGGGGGGCTCCACCAGCTTCTGCACCGGCTGGATGCCGCTGAAATCGAGCCCGTCGTTGGTGCTCTCGGCCTGAACCCTGGCGTGGAGGAGGCTTCTAGCATTCAGATACACCACCCTCTGTTTCGCACCCCCGACCTCGGCCACCTGGCACTCCAGGGTGTCCGGGGCCACAAAGTTGCCTCTTTCCCACGTGAGCCCGTGGTCGTGGCTGATGAAGCAGAAGGCGAAGGGGCTGGGCTGCAGGTGGGCATGCAGGTTCCGGTAGGCGTAGGCGGGCACCAGCAGGCTCTGCTCCCCGTTCTGCAGCTGCAGACAGTGCCCCGGGCCCACCGCGAACGTGGCCCACTCCTTGTGGGCGGGGCCGATGGCAGAGCCCGTGAGGTCTCTGGCTGGGCTCCAGGACCTCCCGTGGTCCGTGCTGGTGACTTGGCACAGCCGTGTCCTGTTGACCTTGGTGTGGAGCTGGTGGTGCTCAGAGACCTGCCCGGGGACGGCAATGAAGAAGAGGAAGAGGATCCCTGTCTTCTCGTCATACAAGGGGCTTGGGTTCATGGACCGGTGGCCCTCCAGCTGGGCTTGGGCCACCACCTCCTGAGCGTGCCACTGAATGTGAGGAGAGGAGAGAAGAGAAGCGCTGCTTTAACGTGACCGGTGACAATGACCGGAGCTGACTCTGGGTGGGGACATCTCATGGGGTTCGGTCCCAGGTCCTCGAGGAAAAGCGTTCACCCAGCACCCCCACACTGCCTCCCAGAGCTCCCCTCACTCGCTCCAACGCAGCCCCCGAATGGCCGTTGCCTGTTCCCACTGACACGGGTCACAGGGAACCAACACTGGGCTTAGAAGAACTTTTATTCTAAGTTAACAATGGTCACAGAGGCCATTTGGGCATGAGCCATTCCCAGCTTTGCATGGTTCCCTAACCGAGCCGCCCCAGCCAATGTCCATCCCGGGAAAGCGAAGACCGGGCATTGACTGCGATCGTCTGACTTGCGTGGGGCCGACTGTGACAGTCACCTCCCGTCCTCTACATATCACACTCTGGTCACGCAGCCTGGTCTGGGGGCATCTCCATGACACTAAGGGTCACGCAGAGCTTCTGTGATTCCCGAGTCTATGCCATCCGTGTGGCCCCTCTGCCATCTATCGCATCCAGTCACAGCTGTCCCTAGAGAGTGATTCTGAAGGCAGATTCTGTCGGGAGCCTTACATCATCTCTTCTACCCTAACCCCCACTCCTGGGGGCTGGGTCAGGGGAGCCCCATCTTACGTCTGGACAATGAGAAGCTTAGATAGGATACAGGTGTTGTCCAAGGCCATACCTCTGGGAAATGACAGAACTAGGACTTGAACCCAGGTCCATCTGCTTCCAACCCCATGCTCTGAACTGCTGCTATGCCACAAGGACCACAGAGTAACGACGATATTGATATTAAACCCTGTGTACGTGATACACCAGCCTTGGGTCTTTGTCAAAATCAATGACTTGCTCTGCGTGCTGGAACTTGGGGACACAGCAATCACTCCCACCCTTCCCAGCCCTCACTCCCCAGGTTAATTTCACTCAAAGGACACAACCCCAGTTACGTGATAAACTAGCCCTCCCTCAGGTTCTCAGTAACAAAGGAAAACCTTTCTGAACATCGGCTTCCCAGGACTGGTCTGGCCACGACCTGAAGCCGATGCTGCTGGGCCACCAGGACTTGGTCCTGGTGAACCCAGGTTTTCTGGGCGACCCTTTGGGGCCACTTGCTCTGCCTCATTCACGATAAGGATGGGTTTCCATGTCCCTTTCCACTCTGTCCCCAGATCCCAGCCATCTAAGGGGGGCATGGTCCCCGTATTTCCAGTGGGACTATTGAAGCCTCATCCCGCCGTACCTGCACCTGGTGGGTGGGCGCACTGTAGCTCCCCCTGCGCAGGACGATCAGCTCAGCGTGCTCGTCCTTCTTGCTCACACGCTTTTCCGCGAAGGCCAGGAGGGTCTTCTGCTGCGGCAGGTAGAGCAGAGCAGGGATTCTGTAGGCGTGGGTTCCCGACCTGAACACTCTCTCCTTCTGCAGGACGGGGCAGGGTGCCATGGGGCCTGGGGAGGAACAGAAAGGGTCCCCTGCAGTCGCATCCTGAGGTGGGCCCAAGCCATCCTTCCAGGCAGGGGGTGCCCATGCCATGGGCAAGCCGTCCGAGGCTGCAGGCCTGTCCTCCTTCCCCACGGGATTTGTCCCCCTTATCACCTTCCAAGGTCCTGTCTACCGGCTCTGCACATGTCTGCCTTGGAGTCTGGCGGAGCTCTGTCCATGAGAACAGAGCCATCCGTTTGGGGGAAGGGGATTTGGGAAAGTATATTTTGTGCTGAGTTTTTATTCTAAGTTAACAAACCTCATTAGGACGAGTCTGTGATAACCTTCAAGTGCTTTTGCCAATCAAATGCTAAGCCTTGGGTTGGACAGGAGGCCTTGCCAAGTGACATTCTGCAGCTGTCAGACTGCCAGAGAATGACACATATGTGCTTTTTATAACTGCAGAGCCCTGGAAAGTCACCTTAGAGAAAAAGGAAAAAGCAGGGGAAAACCTTGCCTCCCCGGGCTTGCTGCCGCCCGAGGCTGTGTTCCCCGCCACCCCCAGCGTGTGGGCTCAACCCAGGGCCAGGGAGGCGCGTCTGGAATGAGAGACGGAGGCTCCTGACAACTCGCCTGGGCTGGGAGGGTCCTCCAGAGGTACAAAAAGAATAAACATTAAAAAACAAGCATTTGGCCAAAAGGGGTAGGAGGTGGGCAGAGATAACTTGGTGACCTTGTGTGACAGTGGCTTCCTTGTTGGGCCACCTGGGACTCCAGTGGAGTTAGTGCAGGCTGCTGAGCAGGGTCCCTCAGCTGAAGAGACCCCCCTGCTGGTCATCCCCGGGAGGACCACAGCTGCCGCTGGCCTGCCCAGAACTCGAAGACCCGGCCCCTTGACCTCACTGGATGCTCTGCTGCGGACCCAGGCACAGGGCTCCGGAGGGCCGGCCCCTCCTCTGCGTGCCCTTCCCCACTGCTTGCATTTTCTCCTGCTGGGTATGTTATTATCTATTGACAACTTATTTAACACGTCCGAGAAACACATGCAAACCATCAGTACTGCAGCCAACCCGAGGCGAGCAGCATTGTTAGGACAGTGTCACAAAGTAAAAGTAGCAAGGGCAAAGGCCGCCAAGGTCAAAACGCAGGGCTGTCCAACTGTGGGGAAAAGGACTTAGTCTTTGTGACAAAATCTCGACCTGAAAAATTGGAGTCTGAGCAAAGGGGGTCCGGCAGCCAGAATGGTGGCTGGGGAAACTTTGTTACGAAATGTAAGTGAGAAGAAAACCAATGTGATTCAAAATGAAAATGAAAATGGAGGAAAGATTCAGCATAGCAGTAATGTCCCCTAGAAGATGGATTGGGATTTACTTGGGCTCCGGGGTGTTTGCTGGGGAGTGGGAATTGCCGGGCCGTGTGGGAATTCTGTGTGAGAATTCTGCCAGGCTGCTTCCCACGGCGCCTGGCCCAGCTCACACCCTGCCAGGGTTCCAGGATCTCCACCTCCTCCTTGAAAATTGCCCTCCCAGTGGGAGACTCTGGCTTTTGAAAATTGCTCTCCCAGTGGGTGTGAAGCTGTGATCCCCAGGACTAGTGATGTCAAGCATCTTTGCCTGTGCTCCTTGGCTAGCAGGAGTGGGATTTAACCTGGAGGCAATGGGAAGATTTGGAACGTGTTTAGGCAAGGGAGTGATCTCACCTGACTAATGAGTTTTTAGGAAGTCGCTCTTCTAGCTTCAGGGGACAGGGGGCAGAGGGTGATTCTGTTGCAATTTTCCCGGAGAGATAAGACAAAAGCCTGGAGAAGCAGACTCCGTGACAACAGAGAGGGGAGCCTGCCTCGTAGAGCAAAAACAGCAGAATTCACATGATTTGGAGGGAATTAGGGAGAATCTGGGAATGCCCGAGTGTTCTAGGTGGATTTGCACAGCACCTCTGACTGTTTCCTGCATTCCTCCTTTACACTCAGATCCTCCAGGGTAGAAACAAGGTTATCCTTCTGCCTAACTGTGCTCCAGCCTCGAGCCCTGCGTTGTTCTGGGAACTGAGGAAGCTGCGTGAATAAAACAAGCGAACCCCATGCCCCTAGTCTGCTAGTCCTGGTGTGTTTAGAGCCACAGCTGGCACAGGAGGGAGTGGGGTGGAGGAAAAGGGAACCTTTGGGTCCATTCTGGAGGGTTCTTCTCCACTCTCAGTTGCTCAGCACCAGCCCAAACTCACACATGTGTGGGTAATACCAGTCCCCAAATGTCTTCATGGTGATGATACCAAACACGTAAGTGGCCCTGGCCAAGTGCTGGGTACTCTTCAAGTACTGTGTAATATTTTTTTAATTGGAAGTTGTATTTACAAACTGTACTATTTACAATACAGCTGACAAATGGTCCTCACTCAGTCCCCACGACGTCCCCATGAAGGCAATGCTCTCTGTCATCTCCATTGTACGGCTGAGCAGACAGAGCTTGCCCAGCCCTTGGGCATCAAAGCTGGGTCTAGAGACACTTCTAACCCAGTCCTCCTCTGAAGCTGGGTTGGGGGTATAGGGAATCTGGAAAATGTCACCTTCCTGCACTTCATTACTTCCAGGGATGCATCGGCCCCCTGTGTAGGTGGCTACAATCGGCCCCAGCTCTGGCTCAAACATGGCAGCTGCTTCAGGCCGAGGTAGTGGAAAGAGAACTGTTAGGAATTGGATTCTGGGCCTCGGTTCGTGCCCATCAGGTTGTGTATCTCTGGGCAGGGACCTTCTCCCTGGGGTCTATCTTCTTGCCTGGCAGGAAGAGGGCTGGAGGAGGCGACCCTGAGGACCTGACCCCCGGGGGAGGCTGGGCGGGGCCTCAGCAGACAGACGATCAGAGAGTCAACAATGCCAGCCTTCACCCTGAGACACTGCCATTTTGTAGGTCAAAAATAGTTGAACAGTGGCAATTTCAGACAGTCCCATCTAAGGCTACCAGCGGCCGCAGTGGCTCGTAGCCTCGTGGGCCCCCAGCTCAGGGCGAAGCATCTCACACTGGGAAGCTCACTTCTCCCCACTCAGCCCGCAAGGCCTGCTCCCGCACTCCCAGCTCAGAGTGGGGAAGCTGAAGAGCGGGTCACGGAGGTGGCGGACGACTTCCTGGAGCTGGCGAATGTGGCGGATTTGAGCCTGGATCTGCCTTATTTCAGAACAGACGCCCCTAACCACCGGCCTCTCCTGCCACAGACCCCCAGCTGGGACTCTGAAGTCTCCTAACCAAAGGTTAGCGGTGGAGGGGCCCTGATTGCCTTGTCTCTCCTCCCGGGAGCACCGTGGCGGCTGGCATTCCCTCGCCTCCTTCAGGAGGACTCTGCCAATTCACAAATCCATGCTGAACACGCTCCATGGGCCGGGAGACAGGTAAACACCTGAGCCCTGGGCCAGCCTGCCAGGAGCCCTCAGCGATAAGTGGGAGGCAATGCTTCTGGGGAGCAGGACAGAGGCGGCTCTGCTGCGTTTCCCAGAGGAAGGGCCCTCGTCCTCGGGGCCGGTTTCGGGAGGAAGGCTGGCCTGTTGGCTGCCATGTTGAAATAACACCATTTCTCCGAAGAGCGGACGGAGCCTGCATGTGCTCTGCCTCAGCTCCAGCAAAGCAAGCGAGTGGGGCAGCCTCTTTCCCCCAAGAAAACCACAACTCCACCAGGCTGGACAACTCAGCTTGGTCCCTGGCCGGATCGCTCAGTGAGTTAGAGCGCCTTCCCGATGCACCGAGGTTGCAGGTTGGAGCCCTGGTCAGGGCATAAACAAGAAGCAACCGATGCATGCGTAAGTAAGTGGAACAATTTGGTGTTTCTCTCTCTCTCTAATTAATAAATAAAAATTTAAAAAACACAAACAAACACCCAAACAACTGTACTTGGGCCCAGGGCTCTGCGGGGATTCCCAGGCAAGAGGGGCTCTCGCGGCTCCCGGGCCAGGACCACTGAGCACCCTTCCTGAAGGTCAGACCCGCAATAACATGAAGGTAAAGCGAGACGTTTTCCCGAACTGGCTGATCTGAGCCTCCACCCCACATTTTCCATCCAGTGCGTCCTCTGGACACCCCCCAAAAAGTGGGTGACATCTCAGGGGTTGAGGGGCCGTACACTGGCACACTTAAAAATTACCGCCATCGGAGGCACCCCCGAGTATGGTGCGATCACCCCGTAATTACCTGGTACAGAAGAGTCCTGTTTATATCAACAAGGGGACAGGTGGGTGGATTCCGAGGGAAGCTGGACTTCTGGGAGAGAGGGTCCCAGATCGGATCCTGGGGCCCGGCTTGGAGATCAGCGTGCGTGAGCAGAGGCGGTGGGAACCCAGCTTCTAGAAGGTCAGGGCAGTTCCCCAGCTCCCCTGGCTTCACCCCGAGTCTCACAGCCTCCACCACTGAGTCCAGGCCTATAAACACCTGAGGGAGGCCCCGACTTTTGCCACCCACTCAACTGCCGCCCAGTTCCAGGGTGATGTCAGCGTACAGACCCAGCCCTGGCCCAGTTGGGATGCTGCCTCTCACGAACCTGGAAGGAGCCCTGTACGTAGTCATGCTGAATCAGAATGAGCCACAGGCCGCCCGAGTCAAGCTTACCTCTTGGATGGATGCGGCGGGCCAAGTGTGTGCGCATCAGGGACCTCCGACTTCCAGGGCCTGGGAGGGTCGGCAGGTGCAGCAGGGGCTGGGGCCACCCAGGCCTCCCCCAGCTTCTCTTCTGGTCTGCCCGGGCCAGCTGGGTGAGCAGGGCAGCTTTCTTGCTCTCTTGTGACCTCAGTTTCCTCCTCTGAAAAATGGGAGCAACAATGTCACGGGAGACGCCAAGCCGCCTGGGAGCAGACGGTGTGACTCGCCTGCTACTACAGCCCAGCACCTGCAGTGTCTGGGACATGTCACTGGTGCTCAACCCACACTCGCCAGCTGAGCGAATGGAGGAGCGAGGCTGCCTTTGCCGGCGGGGCCACCCCAACGGGTGAGCATTCACATGGCCCACCCAAAACCCTCACCCAGCACCAGCACGTGGACAGACACGGCAACGAGCCATGTGTTTCTGGGCCCCCCGCATCGTGCCTAACCAGACCCACCACGGCCCGAGCTCACTCCCAGGAGCAGAGTCCGTGGCTGGCACACAGTCAGAAAGTAAGATGGCCCACCTCACCCCAGTCCACTGCCAGGGTGGAGGAGGCTGCGGGAGCTGGAAAAATCAGAAGGCAGTCCATTCCGTTCAAAGGGCGCTTCTTAGTCAAGAACGGAGGGATGAGGGAGGTCCCCCCTAACCTATTCCCCTTCTCTGCTGGACAAAGATCTTTCCCAGCTTCTTCAGCTCTGGACGGTTCCTGTGGTTCGGAGCCTAGAGCAGCAACAACTCGGGGACTCTTTCCTGGGAGGCCAATGTGATGCCAGTTCTGGGCCCCCTTGTTCCTGCTCTGGTCTAACCTTCTTTCTCACAGCCATGGGCTGACCTTGGAATTATGTTTGAGAGCCCCACCCAAAGGCTGGCCCGTGTGAACGCCCTGATAAGCCCAGACCCCAGCACTCCCCACCCCCTACCCCCACTGGAGGTCCAAGAATGGCCTTGAAGTTGACGCTGTTACATGCATTCCGATTGCTCTCCCACTGATTCCCTGGGCCCAGAAGGGGGGTTTCAAAAGTGAGGTAAGTGTAGTTGGTTTCTTGAATCATAACTCATCCATAAAGTGAATTTTAGGCAGCTGGTGAATTAAAAGCATGTGTTAAAGATAATGCATGAGAAAATGCCGGGAACGTGTGAACTGTAATATAAAAGCAGGTACGTGACGGTGTATCAGCTACAGTCACACTTCTATAAATTTGTGTATTATATACTCAAAAATCTGTACAAAAAAAATCAACAAAACTTATATCGAAACATGTATTACTGCACTCCCAAAATGTAGCACGCTGCCTGGAACAGAAGAGGTATCTAGTGAGCACAGAATGAATAAATAAGTATCATCACCCATTTCTACCAGTGGGATTACAAAGGATGTTTCTTTACTTCCTCTACTCTTCCAGGCACAGATGATTTGATTATTAGTTTAAAAAGGCATTATTTTAAAAACAATCATAAGGAATATAATGACAGGCTTTGAAACTCAGCTTAAGATGCCTATTAACTCTACCCTGGCCGGGCCATCAAGTGCTTTCAAAGGGGCTCAAAGAGCCCGTAAAAATGGGCTTGACTCAGTGTGAGAACATAACTCATGTCTGACTCCAAAGGATCGATCGATTAAGAGTTCCAGAATATTCCACATGTGCATGTAGTCAGCCAACACCACGCTCGGGGAGAAGAGAAAGATCAAGGATGAGGCCCCAGAGCTCCCCATGCTTCTTGCCTACATGGGGGACGAAGACGAACACCCAGGGGATGGAAGCCAGTGACGGTGGGCACCCAGAGGTGGAGGGGTGGACTGTGGTGGGGATAGTGATAAAGAGGAAGAAGCACTGAGAACAGGGGTAGTCAGGAGGACTCCCTGGAGGAAAGGGTATGACCTGGGCTAGACCAGGAAGAGAAGTCAAATTCACAGAAACAGAGCTAGAATGTTCCAGCAGGAGAGCACAGGCCAGCGCACAGTGGGTGCTCAGTTGGCGTGTGAGGAAGCAAGGCGGTGCGCCACGGCTGGCTGGGGTCACCAGTACTTTTGGAATCTCTGGGGCTTTGGGGGCTTTCCCTTACCTTCAGTGTTCTGTCGTCCCACTGTCTGGGTCACCGGATGGGATTCATTTTATCCAGCTCGTCTAGGAGTCCACATGCTTTCCAGACTCAGAGTGCACGCCCCTCTTCAATTTTGGAAGTCTCTCTGTCGTTGAAGCTTGTACGTTGCCTCCCCTCCTCTCGCTCCTTCAGGATAGCCTATTAAATGTGTATTTGGTTTTTGTGCTATGTTCTCCAGATGCCTTTTGACTAATTTTTCACATTTTCCACCTCTTTGCTTCCTGGTGCTCCATTCAGGGTAATTTTCTCAGATAGACCTTCTGAATCGTTAAATCTAGTGTGTCTAGCTAAGAGGTTTTTTATTAATGCAATGCTTTTTATTTCCATAATCTCTAGCTCGTCCTTCTTTGAATTTCCTTTTTAATAGACTAATTTCCTCAGCATTAAAAAGCAATGAGCTAGGAAGCCATGAAAACCCTACATGCGTGTGACTCAGCGGAAGAAGCCAATCCGACAGGGCTGCAGCCGCGTGGTTCCAGCTCTGCGACCTTCTGGAAAAGGCAGAGCTGCGGATGCTGAACAGATCAGTGACTTCCGGGGTTGGGGGCGGGGCTGAGTAGGAGCCGTGCAAGCAATTTTTAGGGCAGTGAAAATACTCCTCGCATACCACCCTAATGGACATGGCACCGTGCGTGTGTCCAAACACACAACACCGAGTGAACCCTGCTGTGAACAACGGACGTGGGTGGTGGTGATGTGTTGGGGGAGGCCCATCAGTTACAACAACTGCACCGCTGTGGTGGGGAGGCTGGTGATGGGGGAGGCCGGGCACGTGTGGGGGCAGGGAGTACCGTATTTTGCTGTGTATAATGCACACTTTTTCCCCACATTCTTGAGGGAAAAATGAGGATGCACGTATACACGGGTGTAACGATTACCCACCGTGGGTAGAATGAATCCTGTGCACAAAAGCGTGGGCACACGTCATACACAGCAAAACCTGGTGTATAAAACGTGGTATATTCCCTGCTATACAGGGAATCTCTGTGCCTGCCCCTCAATCTGGCCGTGAACCTAAGACTGCACTGAAAAATGAAAGTCTTAAATTTTAAAAAAATGACTAGCTATTTTTGTTTTACAGATTTTACTCATTCATCTCTTTAAGCACCTTAAACATACTATTTTTTTTACTCTTTTTATATTAGTTTTTGTTTCTCTTTCCTCATGTGTGAACTCCATGTTTGTGGGAGGCTTTTGTTCATATCAGACTTCCTCAAATGCTTTATAGTGTATTACAATACTATTTTTAATGTTTTTATTTTTGTGTGTATTTTATTGTTGTTCACTTACACTTTTCCCCATTTTTCCCCATTACTCTCCCCGGCCCTGCCCAACCCTCACCTCTCACATTCCATCCTCCCCCCGCGTTGTCTGTGTCCATGGGTCCTTTTTCCTTGACTTGACCCTTCCCCTTCCTTAATGATTCATATTCTTTTACGTTCTTCATATTGGTCTTCCCCACATGTTTTATAATTGCCGTGTGCGAGCTCACCCTCCGTGGGAATCATCTTCCGGGTGTGGCGGTGGAGGCGCTCCCCAGGTAGTCCCACCCGCGCCCCGGGTCGTGGACACCTCCCCACTCTGTCTCTTCCTGCTTCTTTGGGACTCACACTTCCTCAGCTATCTGTCTTGGTGTCTATCTTACAGTTGCTATACTTCATGAGTGGTGAAGTGTAAGCCCCACGTGCAAGGCCCACGTGCAAGCCCAGCTTGTTCTCTGTTTTCTTGAAGGTGATCTGGTTTCTGCTCATGGCCTAGGACATTTTTTAACTCACAAGCTGTAACTTCTCTCCTGGCTTCCTGCTGCCTTCAGGTCCAAAGGCTGTGATTCCCGCTCTCCCATAACTGTCAAATTCAGTACACCCCGGCTGCGTGTGCGAGGGCCCCAAAAGCACCCGCTCCCCAGGGTAGATGGAGAGCTACCTGAGAATTGCCTGTCCGTTTATGGCACCTAGAGACTTCACTTTCTTGACCTCGATAGCAAATATGTAGTCACATGACATACATATGGTATATACGTATATGCGATAAATCTATCTCTAATAGATTCAGCATGTCTGTGTGCTCAGGAAATTTCTTGTGGCCTTGGGCAGGCTATTTAACTCCTACCTGTCTGGCTTTCGCATCAGAAGACTGCAGCGGTGACCGGACAAGTTAGTTCACGTGAAGTGTGCAGAATGAACCCTGACCCAAGGGTGGGCACCGGCGATACGGCAACTGTTCATGCACTTCTGCTCTGTTCTTCTTCTTGACCAGGCCTAGTCCTACGCCCTTACATATGTCAAATGTGTTTTTAAAATAACAGCACAATTTTTAAAAAGTTCAAACATTTAAATTTCTCTCCTCTGCAGAGTCCCAACAGCAAACTTCACACAGGAAGTTAGTAGATAATCTTTCAAAAAAATTCTCTTACAATGAATTAAACTTATTACACTCGAATGTTCAATTCCCATTAGTGCCCAATTATCATAATCACCTTTAAATAATGGGCTTACCATTATTAAGTTCACTAATGATCTATCATAAGTTATTACCCAGAAAACATTACAAAAGGTTCTGGTCAAGAGCATCTCAGGTCTTGAGAAGGGTTGCTCCCGTCTTAGCCAGTCAGGCTGCTATCAAAGTGCCACAGAGCAGAGGCAGGGGGCGAGGATGGGGAGGCGGGGGGGCTTCTAAATGACAGAAATTAACTTCTCGCAATTCGGGAGACTGGGAGGTCCAAGATCAAGCCCTGGCAGATTCTGTTTCTGGGGAGAGCCCACTTCCTGGTGCAGAGCTGGTCTCCTCCCTCCAGCGGAAGGGGCACAGGGGCTCCCCGGGCTGTCCCTTAGAGGGGCACTAGCCACATCCAGTAGGGCTCCCTCCTCAGGCCCCCTGAGCACCTCCCACAGGTCCCGCCTCCTAATGCCATCACCTTGGGAGTTCGGTTTCAACACATCAATTTTGAGGGGACACAAACATTCAGTCTGTGGCCGTCAGGATCACCCCAGAATATCCCTACAGCAGAATGACAAATGATCAGTAAAAGAGTGAAGTGTTTAAGGTGTGCTGCATTGAAACACTGCCAAGGCAATGGAGACGGAGGAGGACCTATACGTTGTGGTCCAGCCTAAATAAAACACAGGCATGGGTGTGTGCTTGCGTGCGTCGTGTGTGAGAGAGAGAGAGAGATTATGAGATTTTGTAGAGAGAACATTTCTAGGATGTTCACGAAACTGTGAACAGAGGTTATGTAAAATGTTTTTGAGAAGAAAGTGACGAGCTCAGGGCGGTGCCGGCACCCTCACGTGGCGGATGGGGTGGGATGGGGTGGGATGGGGTGGGAAGTACTGGGAACAGCCAGTAGAGAGAGAACCCAGGAGACCGCGGCCCGGGTCAGGGCTGCCTGGGCCGGCTCGGAGGCAGAGAGGGTGTACAGGAGGGACAACAAAACAACATTCATGTTCACGGTGTTCCCAGTGGTACCCCCAGGGCCTAGCACACTATCCACACCTGCCAGGCACCCCACAAATGTGCAAAATGGATGGTCTCCCATGTAAAAACGCACAGTTCCAGCTCCCAAAGGCATCTGTCCGTGTGCCTCAGGAGGCAAACCCCGCAGACCCTGTCCCCCCTTCCCGGAGCTCACTCACCCGGCCCTGGACCTCCGAGGGGTCAGGAGGTAGGGTCCACAGGCAGGCAAGGCCTGGGAGTGGGAATCGCAAGCGCAGCTCAGAGCTGGGCCCTGTGCACACGTGGCAGGAGAGGGGGTCTCCAGAGAGCTGGGGGGCCCTGCTGTCCTCAGGAGCTGAGGAGAAAGGAAAATTACTGGCGAGAAAGAAGGACCATCAGCCAAGAAAACCAGATCTAACCCTACACACACGCACGCACACACACACACACACATGCCCAGCTACCATCACTGGTTGCACTTAGGAGGTGCTTAAAATAGGTTTGTTTTTTTTTTTAACTGAGCAAGACAAAGAAAGAAGAGTGAGTAGGAGGAGAAGGAATCTCAAGGGTGTGGCATACGAGGACCAGTTGAAACAGAACCCATGTTCCTGAAGAACGGAGCATCCGGTGGAACTCCCCCCAAACCCCGGTATGTGAAGGCTCAGCTGGGAGCCTCCCGTGGTGGGCACAGTGACAGGGAAGCGGGAATGATGTATCATCCTGCCCTCTTCTGAGCCTGACATGGGGTCTGGCTTATAGTTTCCTGTTCAAATGTTTGTTAACATGGGCGGATGGATGGGTGGATGGATGGCAGGATGGGTAGGTGGGTGGAAGGATGGATGGAGGGTAGAGGGATGGATGAGAGACTACTTCTGTCTGGCTTTCAAAGGCAAAACTGAAACCAGTGTTGTATGGCAACCGGGCAGCTGTGATGGACAGCTCAGAGACAGCCCTCGGCAACCCTTCCTCCTGGTAGTTGCACCTCCTGTGCAAGCCTCTACCTCTGCGAGTTGGCTGTACCTGTTGACTGTACCTTGTGAGTAGAATACAGCAAAGTGATAGGATGTTACAGATGGTGACTTCCGTCTTCCTGGACGCTGTCTCTGCAGCACACGTTGGTGACGGGCTGCCACAGTGGAGAGGCCTCTGTGGTGGCCTCAGGCCGACGGCCAGTGAGGAGCCGGGGCCCTCAGTCTAAGAGCTCACACAGAGTGGAATGTCACCAATGACCCTGCCCTGTGCGTGCGGAAGGAGGTCCTCCCCCACGGAGATTTCAGATGCATCCGAGTCCTCTGGGCACATTCGCCTCGGCCTGTGAGGGACCTGGGTGGGGCCCCATCTAAGTTGGTCCCAGGGACTGTGGGAAACAAATGTGTGTTGTTTGTAGCCACCGAGTTTTGTGTTACTTTGCTGCCATTGATCCGTAGCTAATACAGTGGCTGATTTGAGTTTAACATAAAAATGGACATTGGCAAATGACTAGAGTGGTTAAGAGCCTAGGTCTTGGAACCAGGTGGCCTGAGATTGAATTCCGGGTCCCCAACTCACTAGCTGTGTGGCTTTGGTCAACTCTCTGATCCTCTGTTTCTGCATCTTTACAGTGAGCACAATTCTCTGCTCACAGAAGTCACACAAGGATCACATGAAGTGAGTATGTAAAATACTGAGCCCAGGACCTGTCATCGAATAGAAGGTAGCCATTACAAAACAATAATAATAATAATAATAATAATAAGTAATAAGTAATAATAGAGCACGTTCCCTCCCAAAGCAGCGAGTGCCCCATTTCCCAAAGTGGTCAAGCTGAGGTGTGATAGCCACATGCAGGAAGTGAATGGACCCCTAGAAGACTCTGAGCCCTTCCCCCAGCCTCAGATTCGAGAGCTTTGTTGCCCCAGCCAAGGCCAAGGGCAAGGGATCAGGGTGTGAGGGACCATCAGGGCTACCTACCACTCACCAGGGACCAGTTCCAGGTGTTGCCGGCCTTCAGCATGGGTGGCACCTTCCCTCCCACACAGCCGCTGGGGCAGGTATGTGGCTGCCACCCTCTCTGGACCCACAGGGCCCAGGAAGGTAAACACCCAGACAGGAAGTGATTGTCACGGGCATGGGGCCAGCTCAAGGCCGAGGCAGGTCTGAAGGTCAGGAATGCCTCGCAGGGATCCCTTTTCCAGCAAGGACGAAACGTCCACCTGCGGGCCCCCAGAGGCTGTGTGGACCTTGCTGGGGACAGGTCAGGCCAGCCTGCTCTGAGGCCCTGGACAGGACGGAGGACAGGAGAGGAAGAACTGTCCAAGAGACCCAACTCCAGGAGCTCCTCGCTGGCAGGTGAGCAAAGTTTTGGTATTTTTTTATCCACTGAGGTGAAGCAAGAAATGGAATGGAGGTTGCAGCCGGAACAGGATGGGGGAGAGCCCAGGCAGGTGTGTGAGGGAGAGGAGACCACCGTCCACCTGCTCATGGAGAGGCAGCTCCAAGAAGCTGCCTGTATTTTGCTGCCCAAATCCAGGCTAATCTCGGCTCAGGCACTATGCTTCCAGCCAGGACTCAGATTGACCAGCTTTGACCTGGGTTGATGTTTCCTTCCAGGCGCCTCTCCTGGGGTGGCTATGGGGCCAAGTGGGATAATAAACGGGACTGGTGCCCTGGCTGGTGTGGGAATCGATCCCTCATGGGTCTAATTCCCAATCAGGGCACACGCCTGGGTTGCAGGCCAGGTGCCCAGTAGGGGGCGCTCAAGAGGCGACCACACATTGATGTGTCTCTCTCCTTCCCTTCCCCTCTGTCTAAAAATAAATAAGTAAAATCTTAAAAACACAGGGCTGGCAACAGAATTTGTGGGGTCCCATGCAAAGGGAATATGCGGGACCCCTTATTTAAAACTTATTACAAATTTTGAGAATTAAGAACTGGAAAATTATTAAGAATGGCAGCAGCAGCACCTCAAACTAAGGGCGTGGCCCTTCTGAGAGCAGGTTCCTGTTTGGCCGCAGGAGCCACTGCCCCAGGCTCCAGCCCTAATGACAGACACTTGTGTATGCAAACTGCGAGGTGTCAGACAAACCGTGATTGCTCTGAGCCGGTGGCTCCAATCTCAGCTCAGCGAGCTCATCTGGGAGCCACAGCCAGGAAGTAACAGTTCCCCACAGGGCCACCCCTCTACATCGCCCCCTGCTGCTCAAGGCCCCATCTCCGAAGGACAGAGGGCCCCACCCCTCTGAACCTTCTGGACTGGGGACCTGACTGGCATTGAGCCAGAGCAAGGTGTGACTCATATGTCTGTGGACGCCGCTGTCTTAGATGGGGTGGGGGCGGGTTCTTCTTATCTGTCTGGATTCGAAGTTTGGGGCGCTCACAGTCACTGGCTAAAGAGAACTGGGTATGCGGCTCCCATCCTTCAGCCAGCTGTGCCGCGTTCGGACGGCAACACATTTCTGACTTTTGGAAAAACGCTTGTGTTACTGCAGTAAGACCGCCGGTGGGGACACGCCGATCACACCTTGTCATGTCTCCGTCCTCCCCTCTGCTTCTCCCTCCCCACTTCTCTGCCCGATTTTTCCTTTCCTTTTCACTCCGGCCACACCTCCTGCCGCCTTTGGCATCGTTTAGATTGCGCAGCAGACACCAGTGTCCCTGTGGGTGACTTAAACTTTCCAGTCCATGACAGCTGACAATAACCACTTGACCTCTTCCCGAAGTCCAAATTGTCTTAAAAACCCCACCCTTGAAGGGGTTCCCCACAGGAGAGTCTGGGTGACCCCAGGGGCCACAGACGTAGGGGAACCACTGTTTGCCTGTGGAGGACCTCTCTGGCCCAGGCCAGGGCAGCCCAGGACACCTGCCCCGGGCGACAGACCAGCCCGGAGAGTCGGGAGGTGAGGGGAGGCCAATTCTGCGGCCCGCGTGCTGGCTCCACCAGGCCCTGGAGCCACTGAGTGTCTCAACAGCCAGCGATCCCATCAGCCCTAGATCAGACACCCCAACTCCCAAGAGGGCTCTTTCGCCTCTTCCTGAGCCCAGTGCCTCCCCTCAAAGGGGTCAGCTCTGATTTTCTGAGGTTACCCCCAGCACCACCCTAAAATGGTAAAAATTCCTCCATCAAATCATTGCAGAGTGCCTTGGCAGGTGAGGCTTTAAAGGGGCACTAGGGGCACAGAGGGGGAGTCAGAAGCCAGAGGCCAAGTTAGAGGCCCTTCCTCTGCAAGGGGACCCAGAACACCCCCTGGTCCAGAAACAAGTATGGGGTCACAGGACTGAGAGGCACTTTGCCAGGTGAGCCAGGGGGTACATTTCTGAGCCTTTGGATCATCTCTATTCAGCTTGTGCC